GAGGAGCTGTGTTGGCTAAGTGGGGCTCATTGTGTGTGTGGTAATGGGACACCAAGGGAGGAAAACCTAAAAAATAGAGGGTATGGGCAAGTGGACAACTGAATATGTGTCATGAAAAGATGAAGGACAAGGAGGGAGTTAAGAGGAAGCTGAATAGTCAGGAGGGAGTGGCCATGGTTCTGCAATAATGGCCACTGGAAAATCAGCTGAACCGCCTGGAAAATCAGCTGAACTGCCTGCACTTTTTTCAAGTACCTCTTGAGTTAGTAAATTGTCATTTCTGATGAAGTCTTGTGCAGCTTGTGCATATTGTTGGACCAATGCCAGGTGTTTCCAGATGGTCATGATAACCAGGAGGTCCCTTGACAACTTACTCCAGAGTCTAAAACAAATGGAAAATGAAAGGTAATGGCTCCTTATTCAGATTGTGTATGCAAACACTGGCCTCTTTTACCGAGTGATTCACTGAGGATGGATGAGGAAGCCTCATTAATAAATCATGTTGCCTGATATTCCTATAGTATTTAGGTGATATGCCAACACTTTGCAGGAAATGAAATAAAATAGACCCAGAGAAAAGTTTAGAGCAACTTCTCATTTTTATGTCTTTTGGAATCAACAATTTCTGAACAAGCTTGAGATTTAAGATATACATGTCAGTACACATATATACGTGTATAAAATAGATCATAGAAGAATTTGCCTAGAAGGGTTTTAATAGTGAAAGGGCTTTTTCCTGTATGTGAGCAAGGAGCAGAATCAGACACCTTAAAGGTGGTTTTCCAGTTCTGTACTCAGACAAGGACAGAACTATAAGTGTGAATATGTCAGGAATCTCATCTTTGCTTTATGTTAAAGTTTTTAAATAAATGTAAATAAATACACACAGTTATTTTCTGAGATATATTAGTCTGTTGTGCAGAAAATCGGTAATAAAGATGGCAATTGATATATTACACAGACCTAGACATATTACACAATGATATATTACACCTAAAATTCCAGAAAATGTCTTATGTTAGAAAGGCAGAAATCAGTTGAAAACTAATAAATATTTAAAAGAAAATAGGAATGTTTGATGAATAAAGGCCACTCAAAGAAATAACCAATCTGGCTTTCCTTTCATTTCATATCACACAGTAGTCATTATAAATTATTGCCTATCATGTACTAACTGCCTGCAATTAGCTATTATAATCTTTGGCAGCTTTCTTATTCTGAAACAATGATCTTTACCTATGAAAATAAATAATACTCTTATTTATGAAACAAATCTACTTTTTCTATAGATCATTTATTTTTGTGACTAAATTAAAGTGAAATATGATAGTATTGGCTTTATCCTTTAAATGAAGTTTAATCAATGTGAAAGGAAGTTTGGATAGCTGACTTTCATATTTTGGATTGAAATAAACTTTGAAATTAGAAAAACATCAGTTATTCATCCACTCAAAGCATGTAGTTGACCTGAATTTTTTGTCTTAAGAACTGGAGTGTGTGGTTTGTACTGTGTGTTGCAGGGGTTAGTCTTGGACAAAGGAACCCTACTTCTCAGAAAGATAGGATTAAATCTGTGTTTCAAAAATTATTCTGGTTAAATTGTGGAGAATTGAATAAAAGGGGCATAACTGGATGAAGGAAGAACACTGGGTAGGTATTCCACTAATCCGAGTGAGAAACACAATATTATCCATTAATAAAGAGTGTGGACTTTGAATCCCAATTGTTTGGGTTTTAATACAGCATCTCTCATTTGCTAGATGTCTGACTGGTTAAGACACTTCATCTTTCTACATTTCAATTTTCCTTTCAGCAATTTGGAAATAATAATAGTTTCTATTTTGAGGGTTAGAAAGAGAAATAGGTAAGTTAATGTACCATACCAGGCCACAGGGCAAGCACCAGGTACATAAACATATGTTGTTAGTGAATTGGTTGGAGTAGAGAAAGACATAAGGGGACCACCTTTGAGTACATCTAGGTATTCGAATGACTATAACTTAGTGATGGTCTGACTGCAGGGGAGGGTTTGGGAGAAGGTCCTTCACTGAAATAGAAGTAGGGGTAGAGAACAAGGGATTGTGGCAGCGATGGGGACTTCCCAATAAAATATTGTATTTTTTCTTCTAAGAATGATTCTAAGCCAAAGCATTTTGATAATATTTTGTCTCCTGTGAAGTAGACACATGCATAAATGAAGTTCATGGGAAAGGTTAAAAAAGATTGGAGTTCTGAGCTTCATTCAGCCACTACTTGACTCAGTCTTTGAAGGCGAGAGATGTCCTTTTCGGGTGACATGTGTCTATGCGTGATGGCAGGCCTGCTTCTATCTTCTCTCAAAGAGGTTTTGGTCAGCATTGGACTTTTCATAAGCACACCGATTGTGTAATATAAAAACATTATTAGCACAATAAAGCCTTTTAAAATAATCAGCTAATATAAAGAATGAATTCTCATGAATATATATAAATCTCAGATAATGGCAGTTAGTTCTTCTTACAATTAACGATTTTTACTTGTACTCTTTTTTTTTTATAAAGTTATCCTAAAATATGTTTACATTTACATAGTCTGTTAAATAATAATGTGCATGTTTTCTTTTTTCTTCCAGTTCTGAAAGTGTTAGTCGCTCAGTCATGTCCAACTCTTTGAAATCCCATGGACTGTAGGCCACCAGGCTTCTCTGTCCATGAAATTTTCCAAGCCAGAATACTGAAGTTTGTAGACATTCCCTTTTCCAGGGGATCTTCCTGACTCACAGGTCAGATCTGGGTCTCCTGCTTTGCAGGCAGATTCTTTACCATCTGAGCCCCCAGGGAAGCCCTGTTTTATTGAGATGTAGTTGACATACAGCACTGTATCACTTTAAGGCAGACAGCACAATGATTTGACTTACAGATATCATGAAATGATGACCACAATAAGTTTGGTGAGCATTCATCATATCACATAGATACAAAATAAAAGAAAAATTTAAAAATTTTGAGATGAGAGCTATTAGGGTTTACTCTCTTAACAACTTTCACATATGACATTCTGCAGTGTTAATTACATTTATTATGTTTTACATTACATCCTTGGGCTTTCCTCGTGGCTCAGATGGTAAAGAATGTACCTGCCAATGCACACGGCACAGGTTCGATCCCTAGTCAGAAATATTCCCTGGCGAAGGGAATGACTAACCATTTCAGTATTCTTGCCTGGAAAATACCATGGACAGAGAAGCCTGATGGGCTACAGTCCACGGGGTCACAAAGAGTCAGGCATGACTGAGTGACAAACACTTTCACTTCACTTCACTTCACATCCTAACAGTTCTTTATCTTATAACAGGAATTTCATACATTTGACTCCTTTCATCCAATTCTCCATTTCCCCACTCCTCATCTCTGGTGACCACGAATACAACCTTTTTTTCTATCAGTTTGTTTGTTTGTTTGTTTTTGATGTATAATTGACCTACACTGCTATGTTACTGCCTGGTGCACAACATAATTCCTTATTTCTGTATATTACAGAATAATCACCATGATAAGTCTGGTTACCATCTGTCACCATACAAAGTACTATTGCCTATATTCCTCACAATCTACATTTCATCCCTATGACTCACTTATCTTTCAACTGAAATTCATACCTCTTGATTTCCTTCACGTATTTCACTCATCCCCATCCCTTATTCCCACCCCACTGCTGATCATTTCTTTATTCTCTGTATCTGTGTTTCTGTTTTGCTATATTTGCATATTTGTTTTGTCTTTTAGATTCCACACATAAGTGAAATCATACAGTATTTTCTTATTTCACTTAGCACAATATCCTTTAGGTCTATCCAAGATTTTATTCTTTTTTTTTCAATAGCTGAGTAATATTTCCTTACTTTACCTACCATCTTCTTTACCTACTTACCTGTTGATGGTCACTTATGTTGCTTCCATGTCTTGGCTATTATGAATAACATTACTATGAACATTGGGGTGCATTATTTTAAAAAAGTACCCAAAAGTAGAATTGCTTGATTGTATGGTAGTTCTACTTTTAACTTTCTGAGGAACCACTATAATGTTTTCCATAGTTGCTGTACAAATTTACATTTCTACTAACACTGTGCAAGGGTTCGCCTTTCTCCATATACTGCCAACACTTGTTATTTGTTGTGTTTTGATGATGCCCATTTTAATGGGTGTGAGGTGATATCTCATTGTGGGGTTTGATTTACATTTCCCTAATATTAATGATGTTGAACATCTTTTCATGTGTCTATTGGCCATCTCTATGTCTTCTTGGGAAAAACATCTACTCAGGTCCTCTGCCCGTTTTTTATTTGGGTTGTTTTCATTTTTTGTTGAGCTATATGAGTTATTGGAGAAGGCAATGGCAACCCACTCCAGTACTCTTGCCTGGAAAATCCCATGGATGGAGGAGCCTGATAGGCTGCAGTCCATGGCGTCGCGAAGAGTCAGACACAACTGAACGACTTCATTTTCACTTTTCACTTTCATGCATTGGAGAAGGAAATGGCAATCCACTCCAGTGTTCTTGCCTGGAGAATCCCAGGGACGGGGGAGCCTGGTGGGTTGCCGTCAATGGGGTCTCACAAGTCGGACAAGACTGAAGCGACTTAGCAGCAGCAGCAGCATATGAGTTATTTGTATATGCTGGATATTAACCCCCAGTCAGATATATGATTTGCAAATATCCTTTCCCATTCAGTAGGCTGCCTTTTTAGATTTGTTAATAGTTTCTTTCACTGTGCAAAAACCTTTAAGTTAGATATAGTCCCATAACCAGAATTATTTTTTAATGCTTTATAATTCTTTGTATTTCTCAAATAGAGTGTTCAGTAAGTCTTCATAAACTTGATGAATTATCAGCTCTCTATATGTTTTAATTTGTAGATTCTTTTGTATAGTATATAAACTGACATTAGCTTCAAGCAAATGCATGTGATTATATGCCAGTTTCAATGATTTATCTTTCTATTTCCTCTGTTCTTCTAGTCTGCTCCCAGTTTTCAAGAGGAGTCTATGCTATTTTTGGATTTTATGACAAGAAGTCAGTAAACACCATCACATCATTTTGTGGCACGCTCCATGTGTCCTTCATCACTCCCAGCTTCCCAACAGATGGCACCCATCCATTTGTCATTCAGATGCGACCAGACCTCAAAGGAGCTCTCCTCAGCTTGATTGAGTACTACCAGTGGGACAAGTTTGCCTACCTCTACGACAGTGACAGAGGTAAGTGACAATGCCTCTCTCTCTTTGTAATGGGTCAAGTTCAATGCAGACACCTTACATTCATACTTACACGTAATGTTATAGAGCTGTGTGAGTGTATCCCAAGGGTGCATGCATGCTTAGTGGCTTCAGTAGTGTCTGGCTCTTTGTTACCCTATGGGCTATAGCCCTCCAGGCTCCTCTGTCCATGGGATTCTCCAGGCAAGAATACTGGAGTGGGTTGCCACGCCCTCCTCTAAAGGATGTTCCTGACCCAGGATCGGACCTGTGTCTTCTGCATTGCAGGCAAATTGTTTGCTGCTGAGCCAGTGGGGAAGCCATAGTCCAAGGGTAACTTGGCTTAACTATGCTCTGAAAATGAAATGCAATTTCAACTAGGAAGCATATTTAAAATGAAACAAACAAAAACGTTGTGGATGTACAATTTATAGAGATAGACTGTGTTCACACAATGCCTGTATGTTCTGTTGTAATGTGAAAAGCCCTTTATGATATCAGCAGCTCAGACCCTAGGAGGACTGTATTTCCAGCTCAAGGTGAGTGAAGTGACTCCTTGCAAACTAGTTTAAGTAAGACTTGAGTAAATATGCAGATAAGAACATCTAAAAAATGTATAAGTATTAAATATTTCCCCATGCAAAAGTTTTATTAGGCTAGGATGGTTGTTATTAACCTTGCTTTGTAATGAGATTCCTGAATCTTAGACACATTGCAAGACTTTTTCGTGATCCATTCATGTGTGGTTCAGCTGAACTCAAGTCTTTTGACACCAAAGCTTTGTCATAAGTCCCTGTGGTTACTTATAAGGAGATGGTTTGGATTAGCATGCCAATTAGAGTCTAGGCTCATTATGCTAGTTTTTATTTCGGAGGTGAGAGCACTTGCTTTGTGTTTCCCACTCATTTGTCCTGAAGTTTGGTATTAGAAGGCCTGATTAACCTTACATGTCATAAAATTCTAGGCATTGCTAACCATTCCTGGGTCTGTGATTCAGCTTCAGTGGGTCTGTGTACTTCCTAAAATACTATGAATGCTTTGTGCACGTGGACATAGGTGATTTTTCTAAAGAGTATCCACCACCAAACTCAGAATTATTGAGTACCACCATTGCCAAAATACCAGCCTGTTCAGGGAGCAGCATGCTTTAAAGGTTCAAGGGAAAACCAGAAGTTTATTTCCTACCAGGAGAAGGCACCTTGACTTTTACTTCCAGCCTCTCTTCTGTGTCCTTATCAAGTCTCCAGGCCCATGTGCTCATCTTTCATCCTTCCATTTCTGTACTTATTTCTCTTCAATCCATTTTCCATAAGGGAGCCAGAAACTTTGAATGCTTTTATTAATTTCTTTAAACTTAGTCATTGCTTTCTAGGGGGGTATAGTTGATTTACAATATTGTGTTAGTTTCAGGTGTATAGCAAAGTTCAGCTATACGTATACGTATATCCACTCTTTCAGATTTTTTCCCATATAGAATGTTATAGGATGTTGAATCGAGTTCCCTATGCTACACAGTAGGTCCTTGTTGTTTATCTATTCTATATGTACTAGTGTGTGCATATTATTCCCAAGCTTCTAATTTATCTCTCACTCTGTTTACCCTTTGGTAATCATGTTTGTTTCCTATGTCTGTGAGTCTGGCTCTGCTTTGTAAATAAGTTCATTTGTGTCATTTTTTTTTTTAGATTCCACATATAAGCGATATCATAAGATATTTGTCTTTGACTTATTTCACTTAATATAATAATCTCTACATCCATCCATGTTGCTGCAAATGACATTATTTAATTTTTTGATGACTGAATATATTTCATTGTATATATATACACCACATCTTTATCCATTTTTCTGTAGATGGACATTTAGGTAGTTTTCATATCATGGCTATCATAAATAGTGCTGCAATGAACATCAGGGTCCATCATTTTGAACTATGGTTTTCCCTGGATATATGCCCATGAGTGGCTTCTCAGCTGGCTCAGTGGTAAAGAACCCACCTGCCAATGCAGGAGACAGAAGAGATGTGGGTTCAATCCCTGGGGTTTGGGAAGATCCCCTGGAGTAGGAAATGGCAACCCACTTCAGTATTGTTGCCTGGAAATTCCACAAGGATCCTTCAGGGTTACTGTCCATGGGGCTGCAAATAGTCTGACATGACTAAATGACTGAACACAGCAATGCCCAGGAGCGGGATTGCTGGATCATATGGTAGCTCTATTTTTTGACTGTTTTAAATGCTTTTCTGGCCACATTGATCCCTTGCTTGATATACTCCAATGACTCTTCATTATAATGAAGATAAAGTTGAAAATTACTAATATGACTTTAGGGTCTTATTAGTATCTGGTTCCTGCCCATTTATGCTATGGTCTTGCTCATCTACCAAGCTAAACCCATTTCACTAACATTATTTCACTTTCTCAGATGTACCATACTCTTTCACCTCAAATCTCTGCACATTCCTCTAAATCTTTCTCCTTAGGTCTCAGGTTATATAACATTCCCACAGAGATGCATTTACTATTGTTATCTTCTCTCAAAGTAATCTCTTTTTTTCCTATAATACTTATCACTATATATAATTAATATTGATGTTCATTCTTTCACCCAAGAATTAAGATTCTAGTCTGTTCTAGGAATTGTTTAATCACACAGGTTTTAATCTTTTTATTTAAGATCTGGCTATACGCCCAGGAAGCCAATGCCCTGGCAGTAACCACTACACTTAACTGTACATACAGTGCTTAAGATAATGCTGGAACAGAGCTGATAGTCAATAAATGGGGTCAATAAATGAATGAGTTGAACATCTGTGTGTTTTGAGATGATCTTAGAACCTGAATCCTGCTTGCTAAATCAAAGGATCAGAGATGAATTCTCCTTACTTTTTGATGAGGTGGAAGGTGACATTTTATCTTTAGGGACACACTTCACCTTCTCTATGGCGCCCTCTAGTTGACACTGAACTTTTGAGATAATTCAAGGAGACAACAGCTGATATAAATAGAAAAAGAGAAGCTCTAGTATTTGAAGAGAGAAGAAGGACAAGCTCTGGGAAATAAAGGATCAGATGATGAGGACAGACTTATGTACTTGTGAAAAGAACCTGAGACATTTTAATGATTTTATTAACACTTTAGAAATAGTAAATGAAATTGAAGCGATGAGATAATCTCCAATCATTAAATTATACAAATTGATTTGAGTTCAAGTGCAGCCATGGAGAGGTCACTGCTAGAGTGATATTATTAAGTAGTTGTATATTAAAGCCAAAATTGACTTTGTGGATACATTTTCAAGTTATTTTCAAATGGATACTTATGTTTTAATATGAAGAGTATTACACTGGCCTTTTAGCTGAATCTGTTTTCAGAGATAAATGTGTAAGACTCAAAGTACTGGCAAAAGACTTGACCTTCATGTAATGTTTTACTTGTCTTATAGAAATGGGCTGCTTGCTCTCTGATTTTTCCTTATTAATGACAATTGTTATAGCTTTGCTGTTGCATCACATTTTAAAATGTTTATTCATTCGTCAAATTATGTTTTCCCGCCCTCCTTTGTTGACAAAGGAGGACAAAGATGCATCCTGATCTTTGTGTAGATCTTCGACTAGTTCAGGTTTACTTGGGATCGGGGTGCCATGTGACCCCTTAGAACTGCTGGAGTCTTCTCTTTATTCAAGCTATGTGACAGCAGCCTGGAACTCCTTGTTACCCCAGCATCCTTCCTAAAGCTCCAGAAAGAGTAGCTAGGTGGATCTTCAACATATTTGAGCTATAGAGTAATGGTGCTACCTATATCAATGCATTCAAAATAGGTTTTTTTTTTTTTTGATACATATGTACTAAATTTGAACCAGAACTTGCTCAAAATGTGGTTTTTATTTATTGGGTTAGTGTTGATAAAGTAAGGTAATACATTTCTGTAGACAGTAGGTAAAACCAGAACTAATGATTTATAACTTGGTTTTAATTTTGAACCATACTGTTTTTCCCTGAAGGAAAGGCACATTGATTCCAGTTCTAAAAAGTCACCATGAATGGAATAAAAATGCTTCCAAATTATAAATTTCTTTTACTATGTCCCTGAGAAAGTCAGAGAGGGAAATATATGTTAATCTAATCTGGTCTAGGCATGCTGCTTTGATTTAGTGATCATAAATATTAATTTCTGTGCCTGAAAGATGAATAAGGGCAGTGAATTTTAAACGGAACAAAGAAAATATTTTTAAGAAAAAAGACATGGTCTGAATGAAATAGAACTATTTGCAGTAGTCATTTTTAATCCCACCCATTAATGTGAAAACTCAGATATTTAAGGGGCTTCCTAGGTGTCACTACTGGTAAAGAACCCGCTTGCCAATGCAGTAGACAAGAGACACAGGTTCGATCCCTGGGTTGGGAAGATCCCCTGGAGAAGGAAATGGCAACCCACTTCAGTCTTCTTTCCTGGAGAATCCCCTGGACAGAGGAACCTGGCAGGCTACAATCCATAGGGTCTCACAAAGTCGGACACAACTGAAGCGACTCCTCATGCATACAAGACATTTAGACTTCATTTGTTCAGGGGCTGTAGGTTTTTCTATAACTTTGTCACAGTATTGTGAACACTAGGTCAAGATGAGGCTGTTAACTGCTTCTAGTAATACTTGGAGAGAAGATTTAGGGAGATTGGCAGCTTATGAATAGGTTATACAGCTATAACTAATCCAGCAACAGTTAAGCTCGTGAAGAAGTAATACAGTAAAGAAATAAGTAACAGTACTTTAGCCATTCTTTCTTCTATCCAGAAATCTGAGCATTTAGTTAGAGTATAGAACTTAATTTTAGAGTTCTATAATATTCTTGAGAGTTTTCAGAATATATTTTAAGTACATTTATTAGATAGAACAGTTCATTTTCCAGATTTTTTTCTATTTGTAGATGAACAATTGTGTATCTCAAATTTTCTTTGTCCTAAGTAATGAAATAATAAGAAATTAAGCCAGGATTTATATAACC